CCTTCAGAAATGCAAAAAAAGCAAAAAGCAAACAAACCCCACAAGACCCACCAGAAATGGGGGGAAAACCACCAAAAAACAAAGACTGCAAGACCATCACAGCATAGAAACATAATCCCACCACCCAGCCCCAAACCACAATGCAAAACCCATCCAGAACAGTTTTTAAAAAGCAGAAAGCAGCACCTTACCTTACCAGGCAGTCCGAAGCCTCCTCCAATAGCACTCACTCTAACTGTTGCGGTGAAAGAATTACAAAGAAGCAGCCTCTTCGTCACCAACGGTTAGCAATTCGATTTCCCTGCCTTTTTTTCTGGTTGTAACTCAAAGCTCCGGTCGTAAGTAGAATCAAAATTTTGCGGCTGGAGCTAGTCATAACTCAAAATGGTCATATGTCGGGATGTTCATAAGTCGAGGCACCACTGTAAGCTCAGGAGAGGGCATTGATTTTATTTATGAAATATAAAAATTATCTTGAGCCTTCAGGATAGGATAGGATAGGAAACAATTATAAGGAAGCAAAAGACATTTTTCTAGTTGTTTATTTATTGAATGTTTATATTGGCTTTCCACCAAAGCATGTTCAAGGCAGATATTGCTGAAATATCAAGGAGAGTAACAAAGTTGTAATTATAAAACATGTCAAATAAAAACAAACAAATAAGGTGTCAATTACACCATCCACCACTTTTAATATTTATTCAGGAGGAAATCAGTTGAGTCTCCCAAAGCCTTTTTTTTATATTGAGTCAGAGAAGCATGTCTATGTTTTATGATGTTGGCTGAATTCCTATTTCTACTCCTTAGCTAAGAAGATGGTGTATTTCCTACAGCGAACTGGCTGTTTCAGTTCCTGCCTACTACACTACATACTGTACTTTAATTTATCAAGTTAAAATACAACATACTTTTCAGTATGGATAAAACCATCGATTTAAATCACAATTTGATTTTTAAAATTTAAATCATGATTTAAATCAATTTGACTTAAATCAAATCCACTGTTTACTAGTATTCCGGGAATGCATGAGTGGTCAGCTTGATAAAACCAGATAATAAAATTTCAGCGCCTATGAAGGTTGCTTCTTCGAAAGTAGATGAATTTATGTTTTCAAAGCTTGTTGTTGTTGTTGTTGTTGTTTAGTCATTTAGTTGTGTCTGACTCTTTGTGACCCCTTGGACCAGAGCACGCCAAACCCTCCTGTCTTCCACTGCCTCCCGGAGTTGGGTCAAAGTCATGTTGTTAACATTGGTGACACTGTCCAACTGTCTCATCCTCTGTCGACCTCTTCTCCTCTTGCCTTCACTCTTTCCCAACATCAGGGTCTTTTCCAGGGAGTCTTCTCTTCTCATGAGATGGCCAAAGTATTGGAGCCTCAGCTTCAAATCTGTCCTTCCAGTGAGCACTCAGGCTTGATTTCCTTCAGAATGGATAGGTTTGCTGTCCTTGCAGTCCAGGGGACTCTCAAGAGCCTCCTCCAGCACCACAATTCAAAAGCATCAGTTCTTTGGCAGTCAGCCTTCTTTGTTGTCCAGCTCTCACTTCCATACATAACTACAGGAAAAACCATAGCTTTGACTATGTGGACTTCTGTTGGCAAGGTGATGTCTCTGCTTTCCTCCCAAGAAGCAGGCGTCTTTTAATTTCGTGGCTGCTGTCACAATCTGCAGTGTAAACTATCTTTTTATTTTTGCTGTTGTCTGGCCTGAAGCAGTGATATATTTAGCACTGGTTTTTTTTTTTAAACTGTCTGTGACCATATACATTAATCTGGAAAGCTGCATCAGCATATCTGTTATCAGATGAAAAGATGACATTAGATGAGTTGTTCCCCTTATGAGCACCTAGGGAGCACTTATGCTTTTATGTTCTGTTGTCTGCTGCTTTAAAAATTGCATGACCTTAAAAAATGCAATATCTCTGGACAAAAAAGCAAAAGCTCCAATGTTCATAAATGTTGTGGAGAAATGAGCATGCATTACTGTGATTGCTTGTGCAAGTGGCAGGAGAGATTAACTGGCCATTTACTTTGATTGTCTGTGTGTTTTATGTGCACATCAATAAGAAAATGTGGGGAATAAATTTTCTTTTAACTCTAGAGGTGAAGCGAATCTCGGAAATAAGCCAACTCAGTCATTGTCTGGGTCTTAAATATAGAACAAATCAATTCTGACCCTAGTTACTGGAATATCCAAATGCCATGGAGTGAAAAATTAAAATGGAAATTCTTCAATGATTTTGGTTGATTGAAAGTGGCATACTCCCATTGGATGCACTCTGGATATGCTGGAGTCCAGTTTCTAATGGGGGATACAGATCTTTGCTTCTCTTGTCTTCACTGGGAAGTATGAAGAATTACACACATTTTCTCTTATGAGAGGACATTTTCTTGGGTTGTTGAGTCACAGTTTTGTTTTGTTTTTTGAAATTTTTGCAGTTTTCTTCAATTACTCACCATTTCATGGCTGCTCTATTGTGTGGACTTTCAGAATCTAGAGAAACACCAAATGCGTTGTTTGCATTTTTCAAAAAATGATGAGCTAGTTTTCTTGTGCTTTCACACAGGACATAGGCAGAATAGCCAAAATCCTTTTGTTTGTTGATGCAAAGTAGTGTAATTTCTGGAAGCACATTGCCTCAAGTTAAGAAATCACCAAAGACATTATCAGACATACAATTCGTCACACAACAGATGTCTATGGTGATTTCTTAACATGAGGCAATTCATCTCTAATTGTTCTGCTGTTTGTGATAGACTGGCAAATGTGTGCAAATTGCAAAAACACTGACAAAGGGGGAAAGGGCATATCTTGTCTTGCTTCCCCTGGAGTCAAGGAGTGTTGTGGGGCTTGGAGAGTTCTTGTTGAGGTGATTCATTGGCCAAATTCCTGTTGCACCACATAAGCAAAATTATAAGTTTTATCTGTCTCTTGCCAATAAATAAAGAATGCGTACTGTGAATCTTGCGGTTGTATTTGCATGCTGGCTTGGTGCATGAATATGAACCCCAGCGAAAATCCTTGTGAATAAAGGAAGGAAGCCAGGGTTTCTCTTCTGTTTGATAATTGCATCTGTTCCAATTAGGAAAGGAAGAGAAGGCAGTAAACATTTTAAAACATTGTCCCTAAATTATTCAGCTGGAATTGTTTAGCCCTCTTTGGGCATTCAGAAAGGGTTAATTGGAAAAACGTGACCAGAAAGCATTCTAGCCAACAGTCTGCTTAAATGTTTGGGTGTAATTACTGTTCTTAGCAACTTGTAGACATGATGAATTTTTAGTAATTAGGTATTGGTGTAAGAAGGTTTTTTATTAACAGATAATAAATATTCTGTTTGGATAGCAAAACATATGGGAACAGAGCTGTCTGTTATGGGTTTGGGCACTGATTTAATATATAGTAGTTGTTTATTGTTTCTGTGTGGGTTTCTGTGTGTTTTAAAGTGACATTTTAAAAGCGTTTGTTGGCTGGTCTGAACACGGCAACTTTTTTTAAATCTATGTATCCCATTCAGATTCTTTACTTTGGAAATGGCCTAGAAACCTGACTAGCAACTAGCTTTCCTTTGCAGAGGCATTGAGGTCGACATACTCTTTCTCCCAGGACCCGAGCCACTAACTGGCAGCTCCTGTTGCTACAGACAGGGCACATGCCACTGTTCCCCTCCATTGTTTTGGCTGGCAGTGGAAGAGACCTGACAAGACCTCTTTGAAAGCTCCCCAGTTGTTGACATAGAGTTTAGAATAACTGGACGCATCCTCCCTCGTCTGTTGCCCTCCATATGTTTTAGACTACTGATCCCATCGTTCACATCTAGTTGGCTACATCTCACATTTCTGAAGAAAGTCAGGTTGCGGAAGACAGGGTAGGATTGCAGGCAATCTGGATATTAATGCTACTTTCCACGGGGGGTAGGGGGGGCATCCCTCTCGCTCTTCTCCTTTGTTCAAACTTATGGTCAGATTGTATACATGCTAATTAGAAACCTGTATTTGCATCTTTTCTTGTTCTTCTTTGATATTGTTGATGTTGTTGAATATCAGCATCCATCGGCCCCATAAGCAACTCCCAAGGGTCAGGGATCATGAGAAGTATAGTCCAGCAATATCTAGAGGGCCATATCCCTTCTCTGAAGTGAATGCATGGAGATGATTTTCTGTCCCAGCCACTTCCCTCTTACAGCCTTTCCCAAGATAATAATAATTGCATGCTGTCCAGTCAATTCCATATATTTTTATTCTGGTGGGATGGCAGTAGCTAACTTTAACCTCACTTCCCTGCATATAGTGGTTCCAGAGTTGTATCTTGTCAGTTAATGGTAGAAGGAATAATGAAAAACAAGACAGCAAAGCTGTCTGTTACATCATTGACCTTATTTCTAATTTAACCCTGGGTGAGTGGAAGACTTAAATACGGATTCCTCATTAAAAATCAAATGCCTGCACTGTTTCTTGTAAACCTCGCAGCTGCAACAGTGTTCCTATCTTTCCCAACATGTACCAGGAGAGCAGAGCCAAAGGGAATGTATCAGATGTCCCTGCAAGGTTTGTCCTGTGGATGGGGGATAATGTGATGGACTTGTTTCATTTTTGAATACAGCTTTGTAAAGAACAATGTCTATATACCTTATTCTAAAAACAACCCGGAAGGGAAGACATAGTCATTGAATAACACAATGAATGTGCTGAGGTGAATAACCTACACTTCCCAGAACATCCAAGACCCCTGTTGAAAGGAATAGCCAACAGTAGCAGATGAGAGTAGATGATTCTTGTGGAATTTTTCTGGGGTTGTTCCCCAGAAAAGGTATGTATGACACCTCTTCAGATGTAACACTGCTGTGCGTGGAATCTCTTCTAAGATTCTATGCGTGAGAGTCAGACTGAAGATTTATCATCAACCCTCAGAGTATTTTGAAGACTGAGATTCTAATAAAATTAAATTAGTTTTCAAGCAACCAGTTGCTAGCTTGCTTCTTGTTTTTGTCTCTTCTTCTGTAGGCAAAATCCTCTTCCGCAGAAGCCACATCCGTGATGTTGCTATTAAGCGTCTTATACCCATAGATGAATACTGTAAGGTGAGTGACATTTTCTTTTTACCTCAGTGCCCATAGTTAGGATGCAGGCTTGTATGTCATCAGTTCCTCTGCATATAATAAGTAACTCTGTGTGTTGCTATGTCTTATCATATAAAACTGGTTATGGTTCTAAAGCACTTTTGTTTGACTAGGAATCTCAGTAGTAATGGCTTTCAAATTAGGTTCCTCAGTCTTCCTCAACCTGAGGAAGCCTTCCAAATGTCCACAGTCAGAAAGGCCAGTGTGTGTGCTGATTTTAGGGTAATAGGAGTTGTGTTCAATCCATCTGAAAGGTGCCAGGTTGGAAAAGGTTGACATGCACAGTAGTTCACAAAAATAGAGAAGCATCTTAGATTCTTCTAATGTGTTATGCTCAATTACTGTCTGTGTATTACTGTATTTACCAAGGATTCCTGTCTTCGGTGCATTTAACCAAAGGCTATTACTACTGTGGCAAGCAATGTAGCCTCTCCATGTAAAATCGTAAATAAAATATGTTCTACTTTTCAACTGCTTTGTAACTGTAATAGGGGACACACTGATATTCCTTCAAAAGAAAACATCAGGCCCAGACACTACAGGTTGATTCTCAGAGGTCACAGAGTATCTCTGAAGTTGCAGGATTTGGCTGTTCCAGTACTCCCTCCACCTTAGTTCTCGAGGTATTGGATGTGTGGGTGGCAGACTGAAAAACTCCCTGTGCCTAGGAGGTGTTGGAATCTTCCTTGTGTGATCTTCAAAACAGTAAAATAGCTTGTGCAACTGGAGTTCTTGGAGTTGTCTGTCCCAAGAGCTTTTAAGGCAGTGGTTCTCAACTTTGGGGTATCAGACGTTTTTGAACTACAACTCTCAAAAAGCCAAGCCACCACAGCTAGTAGGGAAATCTTCTGGGAGTTTTACTCCAAAGTTGGGAACCACTGTTTTAAGATAACAAAAACAAACAAATAAAAATTAAAATTAACATTGTGGAAATTTTCTCCTTTATTCTGCATGCAGGAGATAAAACAACAAATAATGTATAACATATTCAGCCTGATTGCAACTAAAGATACTTTTCTGTTCTGTCTAAGGAGTGTCTAAGTATCTTCCTCTACAGTAGATGTTATTACTCCCCTTAAGTTTATTATTTTACAAGATCCATGTATGTAAGCAAATAATGTAGTGTTCTCTTCTCAGAGTGATCAGTAGCTCCTGCTTGGCGTTGCTTGTTGCTTGAAGGCAAAAACATAATCGGTAATCAACCTCCTTTCCACCATTAAGCCCATAGCTAAAAAATAAATAACATTCTGTCCATAATCTGGGAAGTAAAACATCCATGTTTATTTATCCTGCTTTCCTCTTGGTTTGGATGGCATCCCAGTTAAGCATAGTTCAAACTGCCTTCTTCAAATGTCAATCTGTATAATAAAATTGCTGCTCAGTATATTGGAATTATTTCTCTGCAGAAGGAGGTAAGATACATGGGATCTAACTGCATTAGGTTTCTTGTTGCAGTTGCAATGTGTTTTTATTAATAATGGGGAGAATTAGTTTCCTATTCAGTGCATCATTGTGAAGTTAAAATTATGTGGTCAAGGTGTGAGGACAACTCTGCACATTTAATTTAATTATTTTTCTTCTGTGACAACCTGGGAAAATATTTTTTAATGACAGAGAGAGTGAGTTTTCATTCTGTTTTATCATACACATGTTTTATGCTTAGTTCACCAATAGAGTTTGCATTATATTTCCTAGAATATTTCCTAGAATATTGTCTGGATTGTTTGGGGGAAGAATAGGTAACAAGGTATAGGTTCTGGCACATGCACGCTATACGCACATTTAATTTTGAAGTAGGAGGAAGTCCTTAAGTGGAAAGAGATTGAAGCTATCCCATGTCATTATCAGCATGAACTAATAAATTTATTTTCCATAAGATTATCCATAATGTTGTAGGTAGTATATGGCCACTTTAATTTTCATCTCTCCTAGATCATGATTACTTGACCTGAATATTGCACTCTGCCTGATCTTACAATTTGCTGGCACTTAACTCTGTATTTGTTAAGAGGCAATGGTGGATATGGATGATATCCCCTGGCCATCATAGAGTCATGCTCACAGAGACAACAAACTCAAAGTCAATATCCATCATTACCTAACCAAATACTTGGTAAAATACAGCTCTTTCAGCATCTTGAGTCTAATATCAACTACATTTTTTAAGTGCAGCATTTACCAAAAAAGGACTATTCTCATTTAAACATATGTCTATAAGGTCCACATTGGATCTACCAGGAAACTATACTAGAATAGGGTATAATATTCAGTCCCTTGAATCCTTGTTAAATTGCAGTACAGAAATGGATGTGCTATGAATTCTTCAATTCCAGTATCACATAGACACATAATCTTTGGTCATGAGGTAGATCTTGGAAGCATCCTTCCATCATCATTGAGATCACAGCATTAACCCTTGCTAAGGAAAGGGCTCTCTTATACTTGGGGACTATCCATTTCCTTAAATAAGGAGCACATTTATTATTAGATAAAACATTCAATCCTAATATTATAGGAGAGCAAGATCTTTTGGATCGAGCTAGCAAATTCTGCCTATCAATACTGAAGATCATCTCCTTGTATGGAGAGAAATTGTGATGAAGATTTTATAGGAACAAGTTCATCAGGTCATGGTACAGGCACTTAACGCTACAACTTGCTGGCTTTCCTTTTCCTTCTTGCAGTCGTTTTTCTTGGGAAAAGTCGTATTGTAACTAACTAAGCAAAAAAAAAAATCCAAGACAAAATAAAGGAAGCATGAGATTTCTGTGGTTTGTGGGTATATCACAAGTGCTGAGAGCTACAGGAATTAATTGTAACCACGTCCTCTTTGGAAGCTGCATAAGCAACAATTGATTCTCATCTTTTGCTTCCCTCAGGGGAAAAAAGAGAGAAAACATAACTGCTAGAGATGGTCACAGAAGCACTGTTATATCATGGCTTCAGGAAGGCCATTGAAAGATTTTACCAGTCAAGCAACATCATAATCCAAGAGCCCATACTGTGAATAATTACTTCAGAAAGAACAGAAGGTTTTGGTATTGTAACCTACTACAGCACTTGTGGCCTCCCCAAAACTACCAGATCCATATATTGGTCCTGGTGCTGCTGTATTTAGGGGTTCATGGGTTCACCCTAAGTCAGTTTTATGAACTTTCATAGTTGCTGAGCAAAGGAAGGCTTTGTATGTCATGTAGAAGAGAAGCTTTGTCTCTTCATCATCATTACCAGCATTCTGACCCTGCATTTTCTTGCATGGCCTCCTTTAGAAGTACAGGAAGAAGTAGTGAAACTGCCCCAGCCTAAGTCTGTTCATTTTGGAAGCAAGTTCACTGAATTCCTTCAGCTGAATGTCTCCCACTTACTACACAGCATTTTGTGTGGTAAACAGAAGTTCTGAGGTACTGGCCTCATAATATACAATGATTGGGAATTTTGTCTATGTGGGGCTTAGTCTAAAGCATCTTCACCCTCTCAGGTTACCAAAGTTCCTTAGAAAATGCCTGCGGAGGGCTAGGAAGTTGTGGATGCCTCTCACTGAGTGGTTAATGGCAGTTCATTATAGCTAGTCAATTATTATAACGGTCAAACAACATCCTGTGCTAATCAAGGTCTTTTTATGCTGTTAGATGCCCAGTGATAAATGCTGCTATTCACTCTTCCTTAAGAAACAAAGGGGGAAAAATAAATCAAGTAGGTATTAAGTATACACGTCAACAAGGTGGGCACTGAGCAAGTTATTGGTTTGAATCTCACGTCTGCTGTGGCCTAAGTAAATCATACCGTTTTCAGCCCTATCCTTCATCTGAAATTTGAGATTAATAAAGCAGTGCTGTATGAAGTAGCTTTTGTGGGCAAGCTGCACAATCCCAGTGAACTCTCAAAAGAAGGGAATGGTAAACCATTTCTGAGTGCTGTCTACCTAGAAAATCCTGAAAAGTCACCATAAGTCAGAATTGGCTTGACAGCACATTGTTGTTGTTGTTGTTGTTGCTGCTACTGCTGTTGCTGTTGCTGTTCATGTTGCTAAATCAATACTTAAAGCAGGCTGGTAAGGAGTGTTATATTCTAATTCTGGTGTGCTTGCAGTGCTTTTAAACATTTTACAAATGCTGAATGTTAATGTATGGGGATTATGAGACCAGTCTTCAAGTCATTCTTCACAGTTTGAGACAAAATATGAGCTATGTTGCTTCTTCCTAACCCCCACCCTCCTAATCTCTAAGAGTAGACCATGAAATTCCACACAGTAATTGACATAGTAGCCACAGTGACAAAGAAGTATTGTGCTTTGAAAATGGACTATTCCTAGACAAACAGAAGTGCTGGATTTAGAGGAGATTGTGTGGACCATGAGCAGCTCATGAGAAATAAATCTGCATTTATTTTGCTAAAAAGGGATTATGGAGAAGATCTTGAAAGTGCTACTATTTGGACACTGCTGTTTCTTCTGTAGCTCCAGGCAGAATGTTGTAGTGGCCTGCTTCTTCATTCAAGAATCAAAATTCATTCTAGGTGATTAACTCTTGTTAGGAGTGCACTGTGGGTAGACAGCGAACTAGGACTGCATACACACAAGGTGAACTGCATACATACTGTCTCTTGTTCATACACAGAACGTTTGATGTGTCAGCTTTTCATAGTCCAAACATATAGCTTGTTTGGTTTTTCAGGCTCTGATCCAGCTGCCACCATACATCTCTCAATGTGATGAAGTTCTTCGCTTCTTTGAGACAAGACCAGAAGACTTAAATCCTCCAAAAGAGTAAGTTGGTTGTAAGGCTTATGTAAATGTGCTTGAAAAAATAGAGTAACTAATGTAGTCAAAGAATAAAGTCATTCTTAAAAGCAAACACACAACATTCTGGTTGCTATTTTATTTTATTTTAGGAAACACAACACCCATGAATAACAAGCATGTGATCATGTAACATATTTGATACAGAGAAAACAAACATCAAATGAAATGCAATAATTAATAAGAATAAATGAAAGAACTGGAGGATAATTTATGAACCAGTAAAAGCCACATAATAGTAGATCGAACAAAAACACAGTCTGTTTAAAGATCAGTTGGTGTATGATGAGGGATGCAACAACTTGCTAACTGGTAGCAATTTGCAGCTGCAGTTTACCCCATTGCAATAATGTCAGCATAACTAACTAATAGGATTCTGGCCAGTGACTGACAGTTTGAAATCTGATCTGTTGTCTCCATGAGGTTTATTATTCCTTCATTGCCATGAACTTCATTTATCCGTTCCTGGTAAGTGAGCAGGGTTCTCCCCCCTCCATTTCTTTGGTCTCACAGAACTACATAGGCATCCTTCAGTCTTGAGAGGCTATGGTAATGTGCTCTGTATCGAGGAGTGTTCTCTCCAGAGCACGAAGCCTGGGTAAAGTAATATGGAGGATAGGCTGTTACCCAAGCAGCAAATCCCCCCTCTCCACGTTGCTGAAGTGGTCCAATGGAAAGGCAAGAGCCAATACGACTGGTTCCAGCAACGTCGCAGGAGTTGGCAGAACGACATGAGCTGCCTTCGGGACTCCAGCTCCGGATTTTGCCTCGCGATTAACTCCTGAAGCCTTTTCCATGAGTGGATATAGCCACAAGGCAGTGGAGGTTTGAAATCAGAGTTTTCCTTCTCCTAGGTTGGCTGCCTTCCATGGCTGACGAGCCCCACCTACCCTACCCACCTACAGAACTAAAGCCATAAGAATAAAGAAAAGAGTGTGTCTTTATGGGCATAGTACTGTTAGTCTCAGATCTTTTGTACTGCAGCAGTCATGTTATAATTTATAGAACAGAAATGACAGACTTGTTTTTAAATGTATGGATGAAGAGAAGGTGCTATCTGAACATGCTGCAGATGTGTACCTTGCTGATCACTGATCTGACAGGTGCCTATGCTAACTTGCTAGTCTTATCTTTCTGTAGCCAGAGCTGAAAGTAGAGCAGGCAGAAGTGAGGGATGTGATTGGTAAAGAAAAGCTGATAGCTTGAACCACAATTTTATTTGCTCTGTGCTTATTCCGGCTCTGAAGACTTACTATAAGCTCACTTTCTTGTATTAAGCCTGTTTTTTCCCAAGGAAACTCTACGGTCTGTTTAACTGGCCCTTGTCACTGTTGGTGAGTTTGTTGCTGCTACTAACGGGAAGCACCAACTAAAACGGGCAGTTCTTCCTTGGCTTCTCAGTGGGAAAGGATACTCAGTTGCTTCTCTCCCTTGTGTCTAAGCCAATGTATCTAAAATTAAGCGGCAGTTCTGTATTTCGTCTCTTGTACATCATGTGTGTTTCCTTTCAAATTGGCTGGTCAAAGAGTGGCATACTGTACTGGTACTAATGATGTTTCTTGTAATTATTTTGCCAACCAACACTTAACTAGTGAAATGTAACTTCAGTTGCTTAACAACCTATAAAGGTTTTATCCAAAAGTGCCATGCAGCAAAATTTATTCTCCTGTTGCCAGGTTCTTGAATAACTTGTCTTCGCAAACAACAACCACATGTTTGTGTTTTCCACTCAAAACAAGAAGTGTCTGAAATCCATCTTTCTCTTGCTTGTATGATGCAACACACGCCTTGTGACTGTGAGATGCTTGTGGACAGAAGCTTTCTTAAGAACTAAGAGTGCAAATATAAACATTGGCTGTGATCTCACTGGAATGTGCAATTATGGAAAGAGCTGAATTGTGCAAGTTGAAATTGAGAAATGTTTTATATTTTTAGTGAGCTGAGAAGAGGTTATTTTGTTAATTGTGTTGGAATATACAGCCCCTTAAAACCCAAGTTGTATGAAAACAATTGTTCTTATTCAGTGTGGCAGGTTTTACTTCTGCAGATGCTTCTGAATACTTAATACTGTTCCTTTCTCTTGCTCTTTCTAGTACTCTTGGTTTGCCTTAGTTTTTTCTCAGTCATGGCTTAGTTTGGAGCAAGGTCCCCACTATCTGTTAGCTAAGAATACATTGTCCATCTGTGTTCCTCAGCCAGCTACCACATTGTGTTGCTTGCCTGTTAATTCATAATCCGCTTGGTATTTCTTCAATTAATGCTGTGAGAAACATACATGAGACAAACTTACATGATTTTTGAATAGCATGTAGATGGATTTATGGAGCAGTCCTTCTGTAGCACTTTTATACTAACCCAGTGCTTTGTGGAGGAAATACGTTATTATTTCATACTTTGTTCAGATGCCATGTTTACTATGAAAGTGTTGGTATGGGTAAAGCAGAAGTGAATCTCTGGTATGTATCTTCTACCTCACTTTCCTTTAGCAGCTACCTGGCCCATGTCACATTTCTCAGTATATAAGATCCTGGAGGCTTTACATGCAGATAAAGGCCCACTGGCTTTAATCCCTCCATTTGTTGCTCAGGGTCTGCAGCTCAGAGGTGGACCTTCGTGTTTTATAAGTCCCAGTTTAGTACCCAGCATCTCCAGACAGAAAGAAAAAAGAATCGAACCTGAAACTTTCGGAAGCTATTGCAAGAGGTGGCTTCTTTGGGTTCCTTTCTTTAGTTTACATCAAATTCTGAAACCTAGTTACTCTTAGGTACAAAATTCTTACTAGCTTAGTGTTTTAAAAATGAATCTGTAATAGCAATAAAAAAAAAGAGATGGATAACTTGAGTTAAGTGCAGGTGTGTTTTAGGCATATTTAAGGAAAGCAAGCCGAAAAAAGAAGAGTGTCTTCCCCTCCTATACAGCGGGAAAATAAGTTAGTCATTTTTTAAAGTCTTTTATTTTTTGGAAGGATGTGTGTTCACCACATGGGTGGAAAAATGTTAACTTCAATTAGAAACTGAAGTACAGTACTGTACGTTTTGGGATGAGAGGGGGGACTTTCTTGAAATGAGAGCTGAACCCCGCTAGTTGAATTAGCAGGAAGAAACATTCATTTTGTATTGGCAATAGTGGACTGTTGGTCTGCTGCCGCTCTTATTCAAACATCTCATATTCACTTAAATTGGATACAATTCTGATTGCTCATGAAAGATGGTGTAAGGCTTTCACATGAAGTAACACAATGGCTGGCTCCTTCAGAGTGCCACAACCAATTTCAGCTTTCAGTTTAACTTTCGAATTTTGTGTTATGCATTCCACATTTTTTCTTATTTCTAATATGGCTTCTGATAAAAGATTATTTTTTAACAAAAAACCCACAAATCTTGTATCATTGGAGGAAAGCTCTTTAGTGGTTGTTGTGGGTTTTTCGGGCTTCTTGGCCGTGTTCTGAAGGTGGTACGTTTCGCCAGTCTCTGGCGAAACGTTAGGAAAAACCACCTTCAGAACACGGCCAAGAAGCCTGAAAAACCCACAACAACCATTAGATCCCGGCCGTGAAAGCCTTCACGAATACAAAGCTCTTTAGCTTAGTTTCTAATTCGCTTTTAATTTGTTCCTCTCTTGCTAACTCTCTTTGTTTTGTCTTTGTCTCCCACCTCTCTGTATTGTGATAGGCCTCTCAAAGAGCCTCTTTCTGTTCCCCTGTTCATATATCTGTCTTTTCTCTCCATCTGCATCCATCTCCTTTTCTGTCCCAGTACAACCTTTTTTCCTGCAGTTTTGCCTTTTTGCAATAACCTTCTGTCTCTTATAACCTTCTGTCTCTTTGCATTGCCGACTCCACAGAATTGTTATGCGAATAAAGAGGGAATCTAGTTTAAGAAGATAGGATAAGAGCATTTTAGAATATATTCTCAAATGGAGCAAGGACAACATACAGTGCAGTGAAGAAATATGGTTATTGAGAGGAAACATTTCTTGTGGCTTAGGTGATTTTAAAGAATTTTCTTTGAAAACTCTTGTTCACACAGAAAATTGTTCCATTCATGATTGACAGAGGTGAATATTAGAATGATGTCAGATTGAGGTTTAAATTGTGCATCTTCATGTCAAAACAGTGTTAATGGAAGGAGCACTTCTCTGTCTGCCTTCCCCTTTGGCTAGAAAGAAAACATGAGTGAGGACTTCCATTTTAAGAGTGGTTTAATAGAGTCTTCTTTGCCACTGGCAGTAATCCACTCCTGTGTCTCAAGGACATCTCTGTTTCGTTTCATGCCTCAGCTGGAATATGCATGGTGTATTTAATAGCTGCAATTCAAAATGTTAATTAATAAAAGTCCTTGACGCTTCTCTGGAGGGAGCAGATGAACAGTTTGTCCAGTGCTGCATTTCCTGATACACAGCCAGCCTACTAATCACCGTATGAAGCCATGCAACCCAAACAGCTTGTGGTGCTGCATTTGACGGCTTGGCCGGATGTCATAATTCATGGGACAAGATAAACAAACTGTTCCTTGGGAACCTTGAAGGAGAGCCAACTCTTATAATAATAGGAAGATGCCTTTTCCTATGAAGTAGCAGAGAAAAGGACAGGAGAAGGACATCATGTTGGCATTATCATTTTGACAGCCAATTATGGCATTATTTTTGATAACAGTGTTCATAGTATCCAAATATGATCCCTTCTTTTGGTGGCTTCTTTTACTTTCCTTATGTATGCATTTTTGATTATTTTTCATTTAGTAATAAATGTACCTGGCTTTGCCCACATTAGCTAGCCATTTGCTAGCTGGTTGCGCGCGCACGCACGCACGCACGCACGCACGCGCGCGCACACACACACACACACACACACAGTGCTACATCTCTCTTCTTCCTCTGCTCCAAAGTACTTTTTCATGTCAGTCTGTCTCTTTTTCACCATCAAACCCAGTACTCTGCTTTTCCCTGGTTAAAAAGCCATGAATTCT